TGAGAGAAGACAAAAGCCTTCTTCATCAAGAAGGTCAACAGAAATAAGAGTCTTGTGAAGAGTGCATGTCACACAATGGGCAAGTGCTGCTGTCATGCTGTCTGCCATCCCATCTTGCTCAACGTATACATCACATGACCTATGTAATTACTTTGCTTACTGATCTTGGGAGGCACAGTGCGAACACGACCAGCTTACCCTGCTCTCATGTTGGGATGCCAAAGCCCCTTGTTGATCTGCAGCCTGTTCCCTGTCAGATTTCGATTTATTAACACCAAGCTCTCAGGCTAATCGTACCTATGGAAAGAGGTGTTTATTAGCCATAAACACTTCTGCTTACAGCGCATATATGCATGCGAGTGACAGAGCCAGAGAGGTTGCATGGAGGATCATGCTCCACGAACGCTGACGCTGCTTCCCCTCCCACACATATCCCTTGAAATTCAGCACACATTCTGGAGCCACTATGTGAGGAAAAGGGAGATTTTTTCCACCAAGCCAGATCGTGATTTCCATACAGAGAGCCGAGAAGCGCCAAGAAAGGGGGGAGCGAATAGGGATGCTTCGTTAGGCAGGGCGGGGGGGGGTGTCTCGAACGCCCAGCAGGAACGCTGCTCAGCCCTACCCTCCGCCACCGGACAACAGCTTTCTGCCGCGATGTCCGCCCTTCCGAGGCGCTCCGAGACACCGCTCCGCCTCGCCCGGCTCTGCCAAAGGGCTGCGGGCTGCGGGCAGCAGACGGGAGCCGGCGGGGAGAGGTGGCTGCGGGGGGGACTGTCAGCGTGAAGGAGGGAAAAAAAAAAGCACAAACCCAGCAAGCCGACACCGAAACCAAAGAGATCTGAGACAAAGGCTTCTCCCAGGACAGGGGAGAGGCGGAAGGCAGGGCTCCTCTTACCGCTCGGTACCGCCGCCGCGGCTCGCTGGATGGCGGCTGTGGGAGGAGGAGGAGGAGCGGCCGCCGCGCCGCCCAGCAGCCGACCCGGAGCTGCCCTCCGTCCGGCCCCGGCCCTACCGGCTGCTCGCGTCCGGCAGCGAGGGGCTCCGTGCGGCTGCCCGCAGCCTCTCCGCCCTCCTGGAGAGGATCGGTGACGCCGGCAGCCCCTCCACCGGAGCTCCACCGAGCCGCCCCGGCCCTTCCCAGCCTTCCGTTGCCGGCTCGGTGTGGGCTGTGTTGGAGCAGGCTCGGTGCAGCCCCTCTGTTCCAGCCCGCTGTGAACATCCCGCCGTTCGTTATTCTTTCCTTGAGGAGCACCGCCATCACCGCACACACACACAAACACACACAAAAGGAAAAAAAAAAAAAAAAAAAAAGAAAACCGACCCAACCAAAGCCCCGCAAACAAACAGGCAACAAAATAAATCTTAACCCCTCCCTGCAACTCCTCATGCTATTCGGATTTCCTACCCTCTCTCCTCCTCCGCCCCTCCACTCCACCCCCCCACCAGTTTCTCTGGGCCCCGTGCCTCCCCCCGCACACACACACGCACGGTGTGGATGGGTGTTGTACTTGCTGCTGTGCCACACGGAACTGCTGATGGTTTCCAAAGTCCCACCACCACCATGCCCATCCCTCCTTTAGCCTGAAGCCGGAGATATGGACTGTACGTTTGGATTCGGGATGCATTTTGCTCACAGCCGCTTCGCTTCCTGAAATGTCACCCGGTGAGTAGGTTTTATTTCACATTTAGATTGCTTGTCTTCAGAAAACGGACACTTAAAAGAGAGAGGAAAAAAAAAAAAAAAAAAAAAAGAGGAAAGAAAGAAAAGCAGCCTCTCCGTTGCCTCGCCTTGCCTCTCAGCCTCCCAGCAGCGCGGCTCGCTCCGCTTCCCGAACTCGAAGGAATTGGAAGCACCAGCCCTGCCTGCACAGATCCGTTCCGTGCGTTAGTCTCAGCTCCCGGCTCTACATCGCACCGCTTCGCAGCCTCACACGCGCAGCCTTTATGCCATTCCGCCGCTTATTCATCACATTGTATTAATGCTTCCATCAGACGCTCTACCTGCTACATTCCCTAAGTTTAACTCCTGCAGGCACAGCTGATCGCGGGGGGTCGGGGGGGGGGGGGGGGGGCGGGAGGAAGGGCTCGGAGGAAAAGTTCATTGCCCTCACTGATCCCCGAAGGAGCGAGGATTGGATTGGGGGATGGGGAAGCGTGCTTCAGAAGGGATCGGAAAGTCACACAAGGAATCCCCAAACCCCACTCGCTCTGTCCTGTCGCTTGCGCTGGAAGGTGCCAGCGGCCGGGCTGCGCGCCGGGGGCGGCCGGGGCGGCTGCGGCTGCCAGCACCGCCGGGTTCGGTACCGCCAGGCTGGGGGATGCTGTGAACCGCAGCACCGCCGGATTCGGTACCGCCGGGATAAGGATGCTGTGTTACAGCTTGCCTGGGGGTAGAGAACAGGCTCCGTCTGCACCAAACGTACATATATGTATATATACACACGTCTACCTGCCGCTTTCCGAAGCGAAGGCTGTCCTTTGGATCAAGTAAGGACTTCTTTACTTCGAAATAAAAATTCAGAATAGGACCAAAGGGGAATAAATAGTTGTGGTTAAAAAAAGGATGAGTGCCGTTATAGTGCTATTTGCGGCTGATGCTTCCAACGTTTCTGTGTCTCTAATTAAAGGCAGAGATCCACCCACGTTCAATAACAGAAGGTAGGGAGGGAACATGTTAGTTCTCACGAGGAGGTATTGACCGAGCTCCATTTAATTCTGTCATTTAGCGTGCACGGTGTGTGTGTATGTGTGTGCGCAGTCATGTCTCCACAGCAGTACGTGCACAGATCGCAAGGACGGTGCTCAGGGCTTGCGAGCAGGTGGAGGTGCCAGTGAGAAAGACACGAGATCTGAATTTATTGCCTGGTGGCAAACAGAGAACCGAAAAGATCAATGCCCTCTTCAATACCATGCTCCCGAGACTTGTTTCCCTCCCCTCCTCCCCCCGCCTCCAAATTGTGGCTGATGTCGGGAAGGGGGAAAGAGGAATAGAAGAAAACCCTTCAGGCGTGGGATTCAAAATCCATCCTTCTTCCAGTTCCTCTCTTCTACCGGCTGCTGGACAGCCCCCCCACGCCCCGGCTCCATCCCTCCCCATAGCCTGTTCCCCCTCCGAGTTTCCCGTTGGTGTCCGTGCCCCCTTGCCCCCCTGCCCCGGTCCCTCGCACCAGGCTGGGGTCATTAACCAAACCACGGTCTCTTCTCTTGAATCTGCTGCTGCGGGGATCCCCCCGCACTATGCTCCTCAAGGAAAGTTTCTTGCGTTCAGACCTCCTTCCTTTCCTAGGTATAGAGGATTACCTAGGTAAGTTCATTTCCAAAGCTCTACCCAATTTGTCACCCTTCTTTTGGTTCTTTATTTTTCTCTCCGTATTAAGAACTAGCAGGAAATCCTAGGGGTTAACTCTCTGTGGGAATAACCCGCCCTGTGAGCAGCACCTCGGCACTCCTGTCAAACGGTAGCGCGCTGCAGAAGAGATTGATGTGCCCATCAGCAGAACGCTGCCCGCGGTTTGGAGCACTCCGCACTCCCTCTGTGCCGGCAGTGGTGGGAGATGGCAGGGCAGGGAATGCGGGCAGCGGAGTAGTTCAGATCGCGGTCACGGAGATGGATGGCAGCGGTGCCTGGGCAGTTCACGGGCAGGGTGGTGGTTCGGCAGACGGGGAGGGGAGCAACAAGCCCTTTGAGTACAAACATCGAATAAATCAATGCAATTAATGTAGTCTTAATGGGTAATAGTATGCGGCGAGAGTGAGGCATGCTTAACAGGGAAGATTCCCATTAGCATCGGTGGTTCATTTCCAGCGTTCCACGCTTCCAGACCAGAGGATCCCCACTGCTCACACAGGGCTGGATGACTCGGAGAAAAAATGGGAATGCCAGGGAGCAGCCCGGCGGTTTTTGGCTTCGGTTCGGTTGATTCTTTTGCTTTTTGTACAAAGGAGGGGCAGCTGGTAAATACCTCCAGAGCCTCACACCCCACTCCTAGGGGAATGGTCAGCAATAGCCTTCTTCCCTTCTTTCTCTCTGCTTGTTTGTGACTGGCCTCGCTGTCAGGGATTGCTGTCACCTCCTCTGTCACCTTCAGACACTCTGAAGCTGTGAGGCTTCGGGACTCCTCGGTCAGGAGCTAATTTTCCAATTCCAAATATTGGCAGTGGCAGGCGGACACCTGGGAGGGGGCTCGGAGGGAGGACACTCCTTTAAAGACGCATGTCGGCAGCCAGCCTGCCCGTTCCTCTGCCTGGACGTAACCCCGCTCCGTTCCTCCGAATTGCTCTTACCCCTCTCGGGGGAGGAAGCAGCGGGGAGGGGGGAGGAGGGGGTGGCACGCCAAATCCCGCAGCTGCAGGAGGAGCCCCGGACAGGGCGAGCTCCCGCAGCCGACTGTCGGACCCAGGCTGCCGGGATCCCCACCTCGCCTTATCCTCCGCGGGAGAAGGAAGTTCCCTGCGCCCACCGCCCGCCCCTTCGGAAGGGAAGAGGAAAACGAACCCCCCGAGGACGGGGTGTGTGCCCCGCCCGGCTGGGCGGACTTGACAAGGGAGCCGGAGAGCTCGGGCTGAAAGAGTTAATCGGGGCTGCAGGGTGCTCCAGGCGTGAGTCCTGAGAGCACCTCATAGGCGCACCAGCCAATCCCAGGCACCAGGAGCATGAACCGTATGTAGCACAGTGTAAAAAGCGAGGTAAAGAAAATAGGGTGTAAACTGTCACCATATATTGGAAGGCAGGAGACCTGATTTTTGGGGGCTACGATTCCTGTGCTGCTTAGCGATCGGCATGCATGTACAAAGGTAAGGGCTTTGTTACCAGCAATCTGTATTGTGGCTCACTCCTGGATTCAAGTGCATTGTCTGCATACGTTTCATTAAGTGTTAAATCGTACGGTGCAGAATGGGAAGAAGTGGAATATGCTGTAGTTTACTGTTTGAGATTATTATTATTTTGAAAGACTACATTTGTTTCAAGTGGCAGTAATTTCTTTTAGAGGTTAAGGAAGTGTATGCGTGTGAAGCAAAGTAGATCCGTGACTGGCAAAAAATGTAATGCATGTGATAAGTGAAGAATGTTCTGTGATGATGCATCGGAATCAGTCATGGACCCACATCATATGAAGGCCAACATGAGATAGACCTGATTTGGAAAAAAAATATATTAAAAATAAATAAAGGGGTAATTCAGAGACATGTATGTGACAAGCAAGTCTGACAGCAGAAACTAAAATAACTTATTTGCTGACATCTAACAATATTTAAATATGGCATCACAAAAGAATGCTATAAAAAGTGAAATCAAAATCTTACAGTGTGTTATTTCCAGAGACAGGTGGCTCTGACACGTTAAGTATAAGGAGATAAAGCTGGAGTGGCCCTACTTGCATTTACAAGGTGAAAGGAATAACTTCAGAGGAGCAATCCATTTAGCTCTCAGTTTACAGACTGCTGTCAGTGCCCAACAAGAGCAGAGCTTGCGGTTACTCATTTTACATGTGCTCTATCAGCTGTACCTTAAGACCTGGCTTTGAGAACAGAAATGTTCTATGTGTATGTCCTCTCTGCATCTAAGCATGGCAAAGAGCTGTAGTCTGAGACACTGTTGCTGTGCCAGTTATCAGAGTTATGTAAAGAAACTACCTTCAATGTCTTGCCCTGAACCATTTTTTCTCTGTAAGTCATGTACATAATTTAAGCGGAGCAAAAGGAAAACCAAAGGAAAGGATGTGTTACATTTTCAGTAAGCTGATCCACCTCCAGTGAAAGCTCACCTCCCCAGCAGATGCCGAGTTCACTAGAGTTGCTGTGTTTGGGGTGTTTGTTCACGAGATAACGAAGCACTGTGAGGGAAAACGTTAACTAGGAAATGTGAAAACAAGCAGCTGAATGTTTTACAGATCATACTGCAGAAGGCAGCATTTGTTCAACAAGCCAAGAA